AGGGTTTGAAAACGTCCATGTGCCTATGTGGTTCCCTCCTGGTCAGCTTTCTGTTGCTGCGATAAACACCACGACCAAAAACAATTTCCGGGAGAAAAAAGTTTATTTCACCTTACAGCCTATAGCTCATCATCATCAAGGGAAGTGAGGGCAGGAACTCAAGTTAGGAGCCAGCAAGCAAGAACTGAAGCAGAGGCCGTGGAGGAACAACGCTTACTGGCTTGCTGCCCATGGCTTGCTCAGTCTGCTTTCTTGTAGCCCCCAGGACCACCTGCCCAGGAGTGGCACCGTCCACAGTGGGCGGGATCCTCACACAACAATCATTAACCAAGACAATACCCTACAGACTTGCCCCGGGACCAATCTGATGGAGGCATTTTCTCAAGTGAGGTTCCCTCTGCCCAGATGACTCTGGTTTGTGTCAAGCTGGCAAAAAACTCTGTGGTACAGGTTCCAATCTATTGTGGTAAGTCTATTGGGAGACACTCTTCTCACTTTTAGGAACAGGTCATTGATTTGCCTATGTTCCATGGGTGAACAGGTGGTGTTAGTTACATGCCCACCGAGGTGTAGTCACTCGGTCTCCATGTTCACACTCAAAACGCCGCCCAAGACTGTAGTAACATGGAGTCACTCACAGCCAGGCACAGCCCGAAAAGTGCTGTTTCATATAATGTGGAGTGACCTCAGTATTAGGGAAGTTCTCTACCAATGGGCTACACCATTGTCTTAGTCACCGTTCTATTGCTGTGAAGAGACACCATGAGCAAGGCAACTATTATAAGAGAAAGCATTTCATTGGGGGCTGGCTTACAGTTTCAGAGGTTTAGTCCATTGTCATCATGGCAGGGAACATGGAGGCAGGTAGGCAGATACTGGAGCAGTACCCGAGAACTATATTCTGATCTGTAGGCAGGAGAGAGAGAGAGAGAGAGAGAGAGAGAGAGAGAGAGAGAGAGAGAGAGACAGAGAGAGAGAGAGAGACAGAGAGAGACAGAGAGAGACAGAGAGAGACAGAGAGACAGAGAGCAAGACAGAGAGACAGAGAGAGACACAGAGAGACACAGAGAGACAGACAGAGACAGAGAGACAGAGACTGACCCTGGCATAGGCTTTTGAAACCTGAAAGCTTTCTCCCAGTGACATACTTGTTCCCTCAAGTCCATGTCTCCTAATCCTTCTAATCCTTTTAAATAGGCCCACTGCCTGGTGACCAAGAATTCAAACATTTGAGCCTATGGGGGCCATCCTATTCAAACCACCACAACCATCAATGCTAAACTAAAACTAAAGGGTCTAGTTGCATGGGTATGAATTGTGGGTCAAGAAAATTCAGTAAGACTCTATGTGTGTAAATGGCATGACAATTCACATAGGTCTTTACATGACAATTCACCACTCTGCCATCCCAGGACACACAACCTGACTCCCTCCTCTTGCGGCAGGAAAAGAGAGACTTCCAAAAGCTACATTAAGATTGGCATATGAATCTAGGTGCCCTGCACAGACACCTGGGGCCATGGTAACAACCTGGCCTGGGCCTCTGCCAAGGACCATGTCTGGGTTCGTGGTCCTGCCGCAGCCGGGGTCTGTATTGGTGTCCATAGCCCATGTTGCCACCAAAGGCCATATAGATACACAGGATCTGAGCTGTAACCTGTGGCCATGATGGCATCTGAGGGCCATGCTGCCACCAAGGACATCCTGATCTGAGTGGCCCGTGTTGTCACTCGGGGCATGGTGTTGCCCGGCCCTGCAGTTTTTCTGGGCAAAACAATAGAGCTGGCCCTGGTGATGTGAGTGAGGGGGACCTGGATCTGAGGGCCAGAGAGCAGGAGAACTGGCGCTGATTCTTGCTGCAGGCTGCATTGGATGAGCCAGCAAAGGCAATGCTGGAGAGCTCACCTGGGTAGTGATGATGAGGGAAAGTTGGCAGACTGGCCAACCCAGCTACCACCCAGGCCCAGAACCAGGGCTATGAGTTGGCTCACCCCAAGATCCACTGAATCTATGAACTGCTGGAGCATGTGAAGGAGCCGGACCTGTAGATCCAAAGCTGCAGGATCTCCACGACACAAGACAACAACAGCATATCCAAGAGGAATCCCAGGGAGAGCCATTATTGGTGGTGTAGCAGAGGCCTCAATGAGACCAATGACTCATGGCAATGAACACTTGCAAAAAAAGATGAATGGACTAAAAGGTAAACGGGGTGAATCAATGGGCCACACTACAGCATCCACGACAAGATTCCCCCTCTTCCTCCTCTTCTTCTTCCTTTCCCTCTTCTTCCTCCTCTTCCTCTTCTTCTTCTTGTTTTTGTTTTGTTTCTTTGCTTTGTTTGGTTTTTGGTTTTTCATTTAAATTTGGTTTTGAGTGGGTGGGGGAGGTTGCAAGGGCAGAGAATGGATTGGAGGAGACAGGGAGATAAGTGGGACTGGAATGCATGATGTGAAATCCACAAAGAATCAATAAAAGTTAAATCAGTTGGCAGAGAAACACTGGAAACTCTTCCCCAGGTGAGTTCCATCTAATGGACAGTGCATGTGTAGGAAGAGCCTGTTGTGATACACAAATGGGAGAAGTAGGTGCTGTGTAGATGTTCTATGAAGAGTCATAAGCCTGGTGGCCCAGGGCTCTCCTCTCAGCTCACTAGCCCACTTCCATTCTCTATAGGAAAATGGGAACAGGAATGGGAAACGCTGTGTCCTGCCACTCCGAGACGGAATGGAGATGCAGGTGGTTCTTTCTACCTGGGCTCTATGTCTCTGGAAACAGCCTTACATATACACATACCCAAAGGCTTGTCTCCAGGCCATTCTTAATCTTATCAAGTTGATAATCAAGATTGATATCCCAGGGAATCTGGAGGTCCAGGTTATCAAGCTGCAAGGATGCTGTTTACATGATCTTTCAAGAAGTTGCAAACTAAGAGACAGAAGTTGAATTTTCCAAACAAGCAGTGTCAATATGCAAAGTTCCCTGCTAGCCTTAATCCTTACATGAACACAGAAAGATAACCTGTAGTAACCTGATGCTAGCTAACCAGTTACTTTCCTATTGCTCTGTATTTCTGTTGCTGTATGAGCCTAGAGCAATAGTTCTCAACTTGTGGGTCACGGCCCCTTCATAGGTTGACAACCCTCTCACAGGGGTCATCTAAGACCATCGAAAAACACAGATATTAATATTATGATTCATAACAGTAGTAAAATTAGTTATGAAATAGTAATGAAAATAATTTTATGGTTGTGGGCCATCACAACATGAGGAACTGTATTAAAGGATTGCATCATTAGGAAGGTTGAGAACCACTGGCCTAGGGAATTCCTACATTATAGATCTCTGACCTATATCTTCAGCCATTTTCATAGCTTATTTTGAGATAGTATCATGATAGATTTCCCAGGCAGGTCTTGAACATTCAGTCATCCTATTCCACCCCCAAGAGTAGCCAGAATAGCAGACCTATGCCAACAAGTGTGGCGGTTTGAAAGAAAATGGCTCCCAAAGGGAGTGGCACTATTAGAAGGTCTGGCCTTGTTGAATTAGGTGTGGTCTTGTTGGAGGAAGTGTGTCACTGTAGGGGTGGGCTTTGAGGTCTCTTTTGCTCAAGCTTTGCTCGGTATGGTACTCAGACCACTTGCTGTTGCCTGTAAGATGTACGACTCTCAGTTACTTCTCCAGCACCAGATCTGCCTGCAGCCACCATGCCCCACCATGACAATAATGGACTGAACCTCTGAACTGTAAGCGAGTCACCCCAATTAAATGTTTTCCTTTGTAAGAGCTGCCATGGCCAGGGTGTCTCTTCACAGCAAGAGAAACCTTAACTAAGACACCAGGCCAACCTGAAATTGTTTTCTGTGGTGTAAGTCACAATCCCAGGGTACCTAAGTAGAAGTCTCTAAAGGACCCCTGTCTTAGGGTTTCTGTTGCTGTGAAGAGACACCCTGACCATGGCAGCTCTTAAAAAGGAAAAACATCTCATTGGAGTAGCTTAGATTTTCAGAGGTTTAGTCCATTATCATCATGGCAGGACATGGTGACATGCAGGCAGACATGGTGCTGGAGGAGCAGCTGAAGGTCCTGCATCTTGACTTGTAGGCAACAGGAAGTTGTCTCACTAAGTGTGACTTGAGCGTATATGAGACCTCAAAGCCTGCCTCCACAGTGACACACTTCCTCCTATAAGACCACACCTCCTAATAGTAGCACTCCCTTTGGGGCCATTTTCCTTCAAACCACCACAACTCCTCAGGCTGCATGGTCTACAACATAGCATCTCTAGATTCTGGGGATGCTCTGGTCTCCCCAAGCCTGTGCTTCACAAGTCCCAGACCCCACTGTGATACAGATGTTTATTTTACCATTGCAGATTCAGGCCAGAACTGGTTAACACGAGAGTCTGAGAGGTGAAAAGCACAGAGCTAGACAACCTTGGCACTTCCCAATACCAGACTGATCTCAGGGCCATGCCCACCACTGCTCTACAGCATGGCTGACTTCCATCACCCACTGTGTCAGGGCAGCATTGCTTGGCATGAGCCCTGTAGCCCAGGCTGTCCTGACTACGTAGTTGTGCCAAGGGGCAAGGCCCTGTGCTGCAGGTTGCTGTCTGTGTGAAATGTCCATTTTCTGTTGGTTGCAATGAAACCTCATCAAAGCCATTCAGGGTAGCCAAGCCATCACTGTCCTTTTCCTTCTCTGCCTGACAACCCACAGAAGACAGCATAGAAGAGGGACACATCCCCAAGAGGGCTGATGTCCCCTAGAGGAGGACAAACTGCTATACTGAGAAGGGCACCAGCTGTCCCTAGAAGAAAAAGAGATCAGGGCCCCTGTGAGCTGGTACAGACTTACCGCCAGAGCAGAGTCTGGACCCAAGCTAGCAGCTATGTGAACTTAATCTCTGTCATGAATAAATGTCTGTTTTCCTATTTGGGGCACCATTCTGTCTAGGTTTCCATTGCTGTGATCGACACCATGACCGAAGCGAGTTGGGGAGGAAAGGGTTTATTTCAGTGTACAGCTTATGGTCCACCATGAAGGGAAGTCAGGCCAGGAACTCAGGCAGGAGTTGAAGCAAGAGACCACAGAGGAGCGCTGCTTCCTGGCTTTCTCCCCCCTGGCTTGCCAATCTGACGTGGGCAGGGGCATTTTCTTGATTAGGATTCCCTCTTCTCAGCTTGTGTCTAAGTTAAGAAGAAACTAACTAGTAGTATGGGTACCCATGACAGAAACAATTCCATTTAACTTGGCGAACCAGCGATTTTAATTGGGGTTACACACAGGAGCACGGGCAACTGATGGGGGGCTTCAGAATGGAAGAAAAACAATCTCTTCCCTAGCAACTGGTAACAGTCTCTATATCTTTGGGAAAGGATGTGGCCTTGTGAGCACCTCCCCTAGCAACCATTAACTATAAATCCTGGGGAGCGGCAGGCTCTCAAGGGCCCCTCTCTCCTCCGTGATTGGCCCAGACTTGTGTCAGTTTCCCATGGGTAATCACACCTCTGAGAGTCCCAGAGGGCAATGGCCATGCCATGCCTGGAGGACAGTGTTTCACAACATCTGCACATAGAGCACTCCCATAAAGGACTGTACCAGGCGTTTCCCAGGAGCAAAAAAAGCCCTTAAGAGTTGGTCCTTCCAGCCTAGAGATGCTAATGGGCTGGGAAGGATGCTCTTTGCATAAAACTTCTGCTAGGCTGGGCCCCTCATCATCAGATCCAGTGAGGGCTACATACTTGAGAGATCTCCTCTGCCCTGGGTAGGCGGTGGCTCCATGCCATGCTGTGGGCATGGGAAGATGATTGGATCAAATGAAATGAAGTCAGTATAGTCAACAGAGTTGGAGCTAGCTCTTTGTCTGGCCTTGTGGAAGCTATACAGTGTGATGAGCAGAGGTCTGTATATTGATACTTCATGGCATGGTAAGAACAGTCGAGGTGACTAATACCTGGTATGCATGGTGGTGACCTATCCTCTTAGCATGTTTCAAGAACGCAGAGGCTGGGGAGAGGGCTAGGTGGGTGAGGTGCTCGCCACATAAGCAGGAGGATCTGAATTCGGCTCCCTGGCATCTGTGCAAACAGCCAGGCATGGGCCCCACATGCCTGTAACTCCAGTGCTGAGGAGGCAGAGAAAAAAGGAAGGAGCGTTACTGCTTTTGTTGCTGGCCAGTCTAACTGAATTGGTGAGCTCCAGGTTCAGCGCCTCAAAAAAGAAAGCAGGAAAAAAAAATATAAGGCAAAGAATGACTAGGAAGGACATTTTACATCAATTTTCTAGTCTGCACACACACACACACACACACACACACACACACACACACACACACACACACACACACAGACACGTACTCAGAAAGGGGGGGATTTAAAAAAAAAGTTTAACTGGCCAGTTAGTGCAATTAATGAAGTCACTAGTCCTGTCACGGATGCAATCTCAATGGGAAATCGGCAGCGTTCACTGAGTTTGGGGAGGGGTTGAGGAAGGGGTTCAGTGTCTAGGGTTAGAAGCAGGAAGGTGCTGGGGAAGAAAGAGAAGAAGTGGAAGGGATGGGATGGGGGGTGAAAGGGAAGGGAGGCTGTTGGAATAAGGTCCCCTGGAACCCGTGCCCAGAAACATATCAACTGTAGCTGCCCACAGGGCAAGAGTTGTTGTTGTCCTGGACCAGCTGCTGACATCCTAATAGGAACTGGTTGGCAGCCAGCTTGGAGGAGGTCTTTGGTAGACCTATCTGGTTAGGAGTTGGGGTCTGGTGTCGAAGGACAAGAGGCTACCCCACTTAACCCACCTTGGTCTGAGCTGGCTGTGCAGTCTCCCTGTGCAGGGGCTGAAAAGCGCTCCTGCTGGGTAGGGGTCTGTTGCTGTCACTGCTCTTCTGGATATGTGTGGATAGAACCACGCAGCATTCTCCTTGGTTCTGCCCCCTTCCCCCCACTGAGCTAGTGTTGATGTCTCTGCCTGGAAACTGTCAATGCTGGGCTAGCTCTCCCTCTTCTCCATCTCTGGCATCAAGTATAGCCATTGGGGGTCATGTTGGCTGTGCTAAAAGTCTTGGCTCTGCCTTATTCTGGCTCTCTGGACTCAGATCAAGCAATATCTTTGGCACCAAGCATTAGGATACAGTTCTTGGGGAGAGTGGCCAAGTTGGGTCCCCAGGACAATCAAGCCCAGAGGTTCTGTTTTTCATGGCCTCATTCATACGTTTATTCCATGGCCCAGCCTCGGGGGTGAGGGTGGGGGCGTGTTTTGAGGCATTGGCCACAGAAGAGAGGCCCACTCCAGGCTGGTCTTTCTCCAAGGACTTAATGTTGAACACAAACCCTGGCTGGGTCCTTCTGTTCTCTTGAACTCTACAAGATTGACTTTTAAAGGCTGGGGGCCAAAGGAACTGAGGAACCCTGGGTAATTTCTCTACTGTTCAGTCTTAGTTGAGCCCTCCCAAGCCTGACAAGGCCTCTCTGACTAAGTTTCTCCCCAAGGACCCGCCCACATGTTCAGTAGATTCAAGACACAGCTGGATCCTCTTTTTCAAATTGATCAAGTCCTGATCCTGTCATTCATAGGTTGAAGGGTGTGACCTCTGAGCGTCTTTTCCTCATCTATAAAATGGACCACTGATTGGCTTATGTGCCCAGTCTGTGCCCATTGGCTTATTCTTCCAGTCTGTGCTCATTGGTTTATTCACCCAGTCTGTGCCTAGTTTACAGCAGGCAATACTCATCTGGGCCCTGGGAAGATGGCCGTCAGGTGGTTCCCGGGGCTAGCCAGTGCTTGCATGTCCTGTCTCTGCAGACCCTGCAGCCAGCACCTTGAGAGAACCATGTGCGGACCTGAACACATGCCCGAGGCCAAGACATCCTAGGCAGCCACAGTACATCCATTTCTTCATTGCAAAACAAGAAATTCTTGGTGATGCACAAACATCTGCTCCATCATTTCCCACTTTGAACACTGAACGTTTCTTTGTGCAAAGACATTGATTCTTAGGACTACAAATGTAGACTGTGCAGGAACTCCTAGGTCTCTTCTTGGTTTCCCACTGCCAGTAGTAGCTGATTAGTGATTTGTCTCCATTCAGCTCTTTGTTCTGTATAAGTGCTGCTATCTTGTGTGTGAGCAGAAGTGATTCATGCACACATGCACACACACACACACACACACACACACACACACACACACACACACACACGCACACACTGCTCTTTTGTAAAGGCTCCTCACACAGGCACACAGTCTCCATGGCAAACAGCCACACATGCCCTGAATTGTGAGCACAATTTTCCCTGAACACCCTGTTGCTAAGAGCAGCCTTGGCCTGGCTCCCAGGCACAGGGGCCCAACTTCCATCTTGCTAGCTCTGTGTGGGCCTCGGGATTGGATTGTTTCAAATAGGGTGACTGGGGCCACCTCATGCTGGGGGTGTGGTAAGCACAGCAGCGGACATGGTGAAGAGAATCTTGCAAGGGCTTCCATCCCATCTCCCGCCAAGGCCTCTTTTCCAGGAGAGAGGGGCTGCTGTTTGCAGGGAAGTGCTCATCCCCTGGACTCCCTAGAAATCTGTAAACTCTCTTAGAAGGGAGACAGGGGTAGGGCATCCCTATTCCACAAAGGCTGACTGGGCACGTGGTTGACCTAATCTGAGCCTGACTGTGTGACATCATGGAGATATTCATAGGTCCCCAGACTTCCCACAGCCTCCTGTGTCCTCCCTTTCAGACAGCAGGTCTTATGTTGGTGCCAACCTAGACTAACAGCCCTGGCTACAGCATCCTTCCTCACAAGAGGACCACACTCATCCTTTCAACCCATCAGAAGGTCCCTGAAGTCCTCTGGGCCCAACCTGGAAGCATGGGCACATGTCTGCGGCCAGGTACAGGCATAGGACTGAGCAGCTGGCACTTGCTCCATGGCCAGGTGTGTGTCCACATGGGACTAGAGTACTCAGCCTGGGGATGCCCACTTGCAGTGGTATAACTGAGGCTCAGGAGACAACACTCATTCTTCCATCTGACATCTGCTCTGCTCTTGGCCTTTGGGGAGAAAGGACAAGACCCTGCTGTGGGAACCAAGCCATTTGGCTCCAACGAACTTCAGTCATGCTCCACCGGACAGAGCGGCAAGGACCTCTCCACGCTGAACTGGGCACACCTTCTCAGGTTCCAGAATCCCCCTTCTGCCCACTCCTCCCGCTCCAGTCAGGTCCCTATTCAGAGCATGCAGTCTCCTAGCCATTTGTTGTCTAGCAAGCTTACAAAGTGGGCATCTCCGCCATGTTTTATGGCCCCTTTCATTCCTTCCTCTAACTGTCTCTCTCCTGGGACAACCTCCCCTCCCTACCCCATCTACTGCACACAAAAGCCCATTCTGTCCTCTCTCTTTGAGACCAGTGTCACCCCGGAGACTGGCGCCTTCCAGCTTGGGCGGTCTCTTTTGCATCAGCCCGGCCTCCTGGCTCCCAGGCTGCCTGGAGCCCTGCCCAGTGACCCCAAGACCCCTGCTCTGGCTTCCCTTCTGAGACCGAAGTCTGACATACTCTGCTTTCCTGCAGTATCCCTGCTAGCATCAGCATGGCTCTACCACGTCTGCTACCCTGGCAAATCCTTAGCAGCCAACACTTTGTCCCTGCCCCCCATCTGTAACCAGCATTTCTCTCTCTAGTCCTTCGGGGTTTCCAGGGTCAGCCCCCATGAGTCCCCAGCTCATGCTTCAAGCTCAGCATTGCTCATGCCTTGGGTCACAGTCTGCTGGGTGCTTGGTAGCAGATGAGGACATTGCTCCTCCTGGAATATCACGCCACTGTGGGGTGGTAACCGATGATGGAGCATGGAAGCACAGGAGGAGACATGATGTGCTAGGCTGCATGTGCCAGTCGTGGCTCCCAACTGCCTCACATGTTGACACATTAAGCCTCACTTCAGCATGAGAACCGAGGAAGCTCCCTGGATTGGTTCTTTTTCTCATAGCTGCAACAGAAAACCTGGTAGGAACAACTTAAGGGAGGGGAGAGTCTATTTAGGGTCACAGTCTGTGGATACAGTCCACCATGGTGAAGAGGTCATAGCAACTGGAACTTGAAGCAGCTGGTCATAGCACATCCACAGTCAGGAAGCAGGGGATGATGGGAGCTGGTGCACAGCCCACTCTCTCACTTTTATGCAGTTCAGGACCCCAGCCCACAGAGTGGTGCAGCCCACATTCAAGGTGAATCTTCCCCAAACAATGAACTTTATCTAGGTGATCCCTCAGATATGCCCAGAAGCGTGTCTCATCCACGATTTTAGGTCCTCTTAAGGTGATAATCAGTATTAATCATGACACTCCTTTGGTGTGGGGCTTAACAGAAGTATTCCGTGATGGCCTGTCTTGTCTGGGAGATGCTGGGCTCAGCTGGGCAGTTCTGGGTGGAAAAGAGTCAGCAGAGGAGGGCTGTGTAGAGTCCCAGCACAGCCAGGGGGTTCATCTGCTTTTCTACTGGATCCGCCTTCTTTTCTTGGTACAATGGATGTCAAACATACAAAACTGTGGTACAGGAAAAGCCCATCCCGAGAAGGTGCTACCGACTGCACTTAAGGTGTCAACCCAGCTGCCATTGTTTCTTCCATCCGTGCTACCTCAGGCCAGGCCCTGGGGGTGGGGTTCATCCAGCAGAACTGTTTGCCCCCTGCCGCATGGACACTCTCATGTCTTCTCCTGGTTGGGTCATAGCAGGCCAGGAGACAGGTGCCATGGAGTCACAAAAGGGTCAGAATCTTGCCTCCAGCCACACAGTCAGTGCCAAGGGACCTCAGACGCCATGTCCCCCCCTCCCCAGGCAGTATTCAGTGTGGCCAGCTCAGACCCACCATTAAGGCAATCTAGTTAGGGCTTGACTCAGAGTCCTTCAGGCCCCCAGCTCAAATGCGGCCCACTCATGGGTATGTTTTGATCCATGCTAAAGGTCAGCAATACTTTCCACTGAAAAACAAGGTGCCTAACTATGACACAGATGTTCAGCAGGTGGTTGGAGAGATGACTCCAAGACAGCAGTCAAGAATGTGTGCTGCTCTCTCAGAGGACCTAAGTTCGATTTCCAGCACCCACATCAAGTGACTTACAAGAACCTGTAACTTCAGCTCCACAGAACCTGATACCTTTGGCCCCCGTGGGTATCTGCGTTCATACGTACATAGCCACAAAAGAGACATGCACACATATACATGATTAAAACTACAAATAAAAACTTCTTAAAAAAAATTGCCAAGTAGTAGTCCTTGTTCCAGGAGACTAGAGTGGAAGTGTGAAGGTGGGGTGTGGCATTGCAAGACCAGAGAAAGTCATTGCAGGCTGCCTTGTGGCTGGAAGAGGTGAGAGGAGGGAGGAGGCTCTTGCACATCCGGGTTCCAGCAGAACCCATCTCTCTCTCCATTTCAACCTTTCCCAATAAACAGAAACTGCAGGGGGCATGATGTCCCAAGCCTGACCCCACTCTTCAACAGCAAAGATGGAAATAAGGTCCCCATTGTTTCCAAATAGAGTCTGCTGGCTCTTCCTTTCCTTTTTCCTTTCCTTTCCTTTCCTTTCCCTTTGTGACATACAATCTGCAGTCCTGGCAAGACGGGCAGGTGTCATTCTTTGCCCTGAATAAAAGCCACACAGAGGCAGGCTTGAGATCCTCTTAGGCTGAGGGGTTGAGGTAGGAGACGGCTCCTTGCTAACACATTGAACCATGTTGTTGCTAAATATTCCACTTTTTAGGGCCTGTGACACCAAACCTCATCCTTACTCCTATAGCCCTGACCTAGAGGACCACAGTCATAGCCTGGGTCATGTAGCTTTAGCCATTGAGGAAATGTGACTTCTTCCCAGTTATGACCAAGCCCAGCTTTCCCTTGGGACCAGTGATTGTGTCTATGTGGAAAATGACATGTCCTTCTACTTAAGGACTCTGAGCCTGCAGCTCTATCATGGAGTCAGGTGCTTGAGAAATAGTCATAGATTCTGCTCTCTGAAATGTGACCTTTCCAGGAAGAGGAACACTTCAATGTCCTCAGCGCAGGCCAGATTGAGGTCTGCGGTGACAGATCAGTTTGGTAAAATGCTTGTTAACACTCTAGTGTGCTTTTAGTTGCTGTGATAAAAATCCAGAATAAAAACAACTTGGGAAGAAGAGGGTTTATTTAGCTACAATTTAGAGTGCATCATGAAGTCAGGGCAGGAACTCAAGGCAAGAACCTGGAGGCAGAAGATGATGTAGAAGCCAGGGAGGAACACTGCTTCCTAGCTTGCTCTCCATGACTTGCTCACCTTGTTTTCCTATATCCCAGGACCACCTGCCTAGGGGTGGCACAGCCCAGAGTGATCTGGGCCCTCTCACATCAATCATTAATTAAGAAAGTGCTCACAGATGTGCCCACAGGTAGATACAATTCTTCAACTGAGGTTTCCTCTTCCCAGAAGACTCTAGGTTGTCTCAAGTTGAAAAAACCAATTAGCACAACCAATCCCTTGTCAATTTGACACATACAAAAATGTGTAGCTATCAAACCATAACCTTTTCTTTCTTGTTTATCCCCAAGATCTCACATTAACATCACAATATAAAGCATAGCATAACTTTAAAAGTCCCATAGTCTTTTAAAAATTCAAACACTTTAAAATTTCAAACTCTCTTTAAGATGTCCAAAGTATTTTAACTCAGAGTCCCTGTGAAACCAAAATTAACTTAAGAACCTTCTTTCTCCAGGACTAGGGCATGAAAACAACCATACTTAAGCAAAACCGAAGTCCAAAAGTGTAGCTCCAAACCTTGTGGCTCAGTGTCTGACACCTGGGACTCACTCATGATCAACTAGGCCCCCAAGAGCTTACACAGCTCCACTTCTCCAGCTCTGCCATCCACAACACATACAGACTGTCTTGTAGGCTCAAGCCAGCTCTACCCTACACCTATCATTGTTCTTGGTGGTCACCCCTCTGTCCTGGCAACTCCAACTTTCATCAACGGCCTTTCCCAGCCTCCGACAGTGCCAAGACTTAGCTGCTCCCTATGACCCCTCTGTGTCACTAGAACCAGGACTGTGTGAGAAATTCTTACATTTTGCCAAGTTCAGCTTTCAGCCTGAGATGCAGACCTGACCCCCTCTAGACTACAGTTTCCGTGTGCTGGCCCTGAAGAAATACTTCCCAGAATATCTTGGCTCAATGATTCGGATCTCTTATTAATCACAACTGATTTCTCAGCCCCAGATAACCAGCATCTACTGTCCCAGTAAAGCAAAGGTTTCATTTCCACAGATGCTTAACCCAAAATACCACAGAAACAAAAGCAAAGGCTTTTGCTGCCCTTGGAAACTTCATCACCAGGCCTCCATCATCTGTACCTCTCTCAACATCTTCCAAGACATAATAGCTCATTAAGCTCTCAAAATTCATTGGCCTTTTCCACCCCAAAGTTCCAAACTCTGTCCACAATCAAACACAAAACAAAACAAAACAAAACAACAACAACAAAAACCATTGTCAGGTCTGTAACAGTGTCTGGTACTAATTTCTATTTAAGTTTGATAAACATTATGACCAAAAGCAAATTGGAAGAAAGGGTTTATTTCAGCTTACACTTGCAGGTAATTGTCCATCACTGAAGGGAGTTGGGGTAGGAAACTGGAGGCGGGAATTGCAGCAGAGACCATGGAGGAATGATGTATGCTCTCCATGGCTTCTTGCCCATCTTGCTTTCTTATACAGCCCAGGACCACAGCCGGCATCTCCCACAGTGGGCGGGGCCCTCCCATGGCAATCATTAATTAAGAAAATGCCCCACAAACATGCCCACAGAGTAATCTGGTGGAGGCAGTTCCTTAGTTGAGGCTCCCTCTTCCCAGGTGACTCTGTGTGGCATCAAGTTGACAAAAAACTAACCAGCTCACCAAGTGAGTGTGAAGACCAGAGTGTGAGCCCCTAGAACCAACATCTAAAAACCCAGGTACGGTGGTGTGTGCTTATAATGCCAGTGCCGACAGCCAGATCTCCAGGACTCACTAGCCAGACAACTGAGCCTGCTTGGTGAGCTCCAGGCCACTGAGAGACCTCGTTTCAAAAAAATCAAGGTGGATGGCACCTGAGTGATAACAGCCTAATTTGTCCTCTGGCCTCCATACGCATAGGTACAGACATGTACCTGCACACAAAAATTTGTACACACACACACACACACACACACACACACACACACACACACACAAAGCCTGTTTGAAACATATCCCCCTACAACAGAGGGAGTGGCTATCTCCAGAATGGGAGGCAAGTAGGTTCTGGTACATATACCATCGACCAGGTACATCAGAAATGCCATTGGCTTAGGCTGAGTGTCTATGGCCCTCAGGTATCATAGGAATGTGCAGGTGAGGGGCGTGTGCCTTGCACTGCTGTGCAAGCTGCATGCATCTGTGTGGGGGTGGGCCACCTCCTCCGTGATAGCTTCCTTGGTCCTTCAGGGGGCTTGGACACAGGGCGAACCAGAGGCCTGACTGAGAGCATGGCTCACCACATGACTGGAGCCTTGGCCTCTTGTTTCTTCTCAGAGAGGCCAGCTGGCTGACGCTCTGAACCTCATAAATAATATCAGGTGGTGGAGGACTCAGGTTCTGATTGATGTGAAGGGGCACGGAGATCCTGAAGGGCTGCTGGCAGGCCCCCAGTCATAGTGCATCCAATTAAGGGGCTTGCAAAGCCACCATCTGTAGTAGAATATTATCTTAAGATGAGTTACATTTGTTTAGGCTGTGGAACATTTGTTTAGTGATATGGAGATGTGTTGCATTCGTTTGTGTTGCATTTGTTTAACTCTGTGAAGCTGTATTACTTTCCCTGCCTAAAACACCTGATGGTCCAATAAAGAGCTGAAGGGCCAATAGCAAGGCAGGAGGAAGGATAGGTGGGTCTGGCAGGCAGAGAGAATAAATAGAAGGAGAAATCTGGGAAGAGAGGAGGATCAAGAACAAGGAGAGGAGGGTGCCAGGGGCCAGTCACCCAGCCAGCCACGGAGTGAGAGCGAAAGTAAGAATTACAGAAGGAAGGGAAAGTTAAAAGCCCAGAGGCAAAAGGTAGATGGGATAATTTAAGACAAGCTGGCTAGAAACAAGCCAAGCTAAGGCCGGGCATTCATAAGTAAGAACAAGTCTCTGTGTGTGATTTATTGGGAGCTGCGTGGTGGGCCCCTCAAAGAACAAAGGAGTAAAGAGTGAAAACCACAACAACCATCTTTGGAAAGAGTCACCGCAGAATAAACGTGTTTCTTCCCCTCATCCCAACACAGCCTTCACCACCTTCGGCTCCACCTTAGCAGGTTTTTCTGAGGACCCCTAAATGTCTGATGCCTTGATAGGTGGCAAGGCTCAGGCCTTATTAGAGACAGGGTTGGTATAGCTGAGTAGATGACTCAGTCAATAAAATGCTTGCTGTCCAATGTGAGGACCTGTGTTCAAATCCCCAGCACCCATGCAAAAAGCTGGGCTTGGCAGCCTATGCCTGAAACCCCAGCACTGGGGAGACAGAGGAGGATCTCAGGGGCTTGTGGGCAAGCCAGACCAGTTTCGTCAATCAGTTTCAGATCTAGTAAGAGACTATCTCAGACAAGGTAGACAATGACTGAGGAAGATCTCTGATGTCAACCTCAGACCTCCCAATGCGTGTGTGTACACACGTGCAAACACAGAGACACATTTGCTTGTTTTCAGAGGAGGTGTGTGTCTCAATATACAGCCCTGGATGGCTTGGAAATCACATGTAGACCAGGCTGGCCTCAAACTCACAGAGATCTACCTGCCTCTCTCTCCCAAGGGCTGGAATTAATGGTGTGCGCTGCCATGCCCAAAGAAAGGGTTATAATTTCAGGAGTGAGAATAAGTTGAGCATTAGCTTGGCTCTGAGGCTTGGGGATTGATTCCACCCTCCACTTGTACCCCAATCCAGCTGACAGACTCAGGGTTGCCCTGGACTGAGTTCATCTCTGACTCAGGCTGGACACATCCTGTACCCAGGCACCCCAAGTCCTGCCAGAAGACTGAAATCAGTACTGCATAGAGCAAAGAAGAGGGGCCCCTGCCTAAGAGCAGGTCCAGCTGTGTCTGAGAAGGTGGGTGGTTAGGCGCAAGGCTAGATGCTGAGCGGGACAAGCCATCAAGTGGCAGGAAAGGAGAGTATAGGGAAAGAGATCATCAAGGTTAAGATATAAAAGAACCCATGACAGAACTCTCTGTCTCTGTCTGTCTGTTTGTCTGTCTGTCTCTGCAGGATATATGTAGCAAAAACAGATCTCATGTGAGAAAAGCCCAGGATCTCCAAATACAGGAAAAGGCAGATGCTATGTCATGGATGAGGGGGCAGAGCTTTGGAGCCTTGGCCCATCCCAGCTCTCCGGTCCATTTCCATTCTTGGCAAAGACTTCCTCTTCCTTAGTAAGCACTCTAAGTTTCTGCCAATATCCAAAAGTCCCGAGTCCAGTTCTTTGTTTCAGGACACAAGAACCTGGACATTCCAGTAGGGGATCCGTGCCTATAACAATGCACACGTTTGACTAGTGGTGTGAAAAGACATTTCAGGAGGAGGAAACAGAGAAATGTCTGCATCAGTGAGCACCTTCAGAGAGAAAGACAGGACCATTTGCATGCCCAGTGTCAGCCAGGCCAAGACTCCAGGGGCCTAAGGCTGAGCCTCCATCCTCTTCTCCTTCACTCCTGAGCATCCCTCATGCTGACTCTACTCATAGGCACTCAGGTCCCCTCGTGTTTGACACAGACTCAGGACCAAATGCTAGCCTCTCACATCCATGCAATGACGGCCTTGAGCTGAGCCCCAGATCAGCTCTCGTTCTTCCCAAAGCCTAACATCCAACTTGCCAGCACTTCCTGTTGAGTTACCTCCAACTTGCACCTCACCCTCAGGCCTCTCTGCCCCTCTCTTCTGAGACGCTAATGTGTCTCAAGAGTTTGCATCTTCTGTGCTCAGGCCATCAACTTCCCACAGGCCCCGTGATAATCCAAGTCCTTCCTCTCCATCTCCAGGGTTCTCTGTCTCTGCCTTCCCCATATTCCACCCCATCTTCCCATCTCCATCTTTCATCTGTGCTCCTTGAGGTGCATCTAGTAGGGCTTCTTGCCTGACCCCCACTTTGTGGCCACTGGGGCCTTTGCACTTGCTCCCCTCTAGCTCTGCCTCTGTCAGGACCCTCTACCCCTGGACACTCCCATTCCCGCCCCCCGCCCCCTCAACCCCCCCCCCCCCCCCCCCCCCCCCGCCATGGCTTCTTAGTGTCCAGAGCTCAGAAAGATCTTCTCTGACAATATAAATCACCTCTCCCCTTCCCTACGGCTGCACTTTTTACTTTAACGCCCTTGATCTAGTTCCTACCTTTCTGTCTGATGATTCATTAGCAAGAGTCCAGCGAGGACGGGTATATTAGTTGCTCTTCTCGTTGCTGTAACAAAATATCCAACAAAAGCAATTTAAAGGGAGAAAGGTTCATCAGGGGATACAATCCATCTGCTGTGGGGAAGGCAGGGCAGAAGGAACGTAAGGTCCTGGTCACATCACATTCACTGTCAGGGAACAGAGAGAGATGAACATTTACGTTAACGCTCAGTTTGGTTTGGCCTTTGTGGTCAGCCCAGGACCCCAGCCTGGGCAGGTGCTGCCTTCTTTCAGGATAAGGTCTTCCCACTTCAATTAGCCTAGTTTAGAAATGCCCTCACAACATGCCCCCCACCTCGAGCTTGTCTTTAGGGGATTATCGATCCCATCAAGTTGACAACCATCATTAACCACCACATCAAACAAACCAGATCAGTCCCCCTAACCCCAAGCTGACAGGCATGTAATGGGTGTACAGGAAGTATCTCTTTAACTGATGCATTTTCCAGGTGGTCTGAACGTATCACAAATGATGTAGGTCTATGACTTGAAGAAGAAACAGGGATGGCTGAATGCTGGCAGGTGGATGGTTTCCAGTGTCCACTCTGCTGATCTCTGGGGTGTCCCTCCTGGCCTGGGCTCTTCTGCATACCACTCTCTGTGCCTTCAAATTCTCCCCAGCAGTGTTCTCTTCAGCATCTGCATGCTCAGCAGGTGTTAGCAGGTGCCAGAGGTGACAGGTTCTCCAGTGGTCATTACCTTCAGAGAGGTCTCCATTCCTCCTGACTCTGCTGCTCTCCAGGTCCAGCCAGCCCAGTGTCGGCAGCAGGGCCCCAGGGACACTCGCAGCCTTCAGTCTTCTTCCTCCTGGAGTTCTTTCTTCTAAGACTCTGTGTAGCTTCCTGAAGGCCTTTCACTCCAGGGCTTAGTGCTGCTCTGCTCTGCCATCTGGCCCCTCCCCTGCTCCTTACCCCTGCCAACCATCTCATCCCACTGTGCTCCGTGTTCTTGGGGCTCTCACCCCACTGTGGGGCATCCTTTTTTAAAAACTCAATTCCCAAATGTCCATGATGTGTCTCCCACTCGTAACAGGAGCTCAGGCAGGCTGGCCTCTGACCAGGGAAGCTGAAAGTCATGTCCTCCCTTCCAGGCTGCCCGGAGTGCCTATGAGGGATGAAGGCAATCCTGTACTTTATAACCTAAGAACTCATCAAGGGTCAAGGAGCCCGGGGTTTGCTGGCAGAGGTTGTGGGAGCCCAGAGTCCAGGAGCACAACCCCAGCCTCAGCTTCCTCAGCAGTTTCTCAGCCAGAATTCTGGCTGCCACTAAGGCACCTGCTCCTCCACTTCCTGCCTGCTCTGAGTCAGCAGCCCTCCTATGGATTTGTGATCAAGTCCATCGTCTCTTCCAAACACGTCTTTCTTGCCATGTCAATCAAGGGAAGTTTCTAGGCTGGTGGCATAGGCTCATCTATGTGTGCCCAGGAAATCTGGGCACAGGGAGTACAGGGCATGAGACTGCCTGTCTGTTTCCATCTTTTCTGTTTCTTAGCATCTGTTGTGATGTTTCTTGTCCAGCTACGCCCCTCCCCTCACTTTCCTATGAACTGTGTTTAGTGGTAGCACACAACAGATATGATGTTGGTGTACTTAAAGGTGGGGCGCTCAGATAACCTAAATCCTTTCATCAAAAAACAAGCCTACTTTTTAATTTTAATTTTTTTTAATGCCAAAAATGCAAGAAGGGATCACCATGCAAATCAAGTTCTCCTGAAATCCTGTTCCCCACAAGGAGGAGTCAAACATAAGGCTATCTCTGACTTTCTCTTGAGCATTCGACGCCATCTGCTTCAAGACTGCTGAGAAGTAAGGTCACAGCAAGGGTCCTTGAGACCCAGAAAGGACTTGGTGGCGGAACCGTTAGGATGGCAATTCTCCTGCATAGGGTCTGCTTGCTCCCCAGTCATGGTGGCTGGCCCAGATCCTGCTCCCAGGACCCGGTTTCCGAGTGTGGCTTCAGCAGGTGTGAGGGCAGAGGGTGTCACTCACAACTTGTTAACACACAGGAGGGTGTCCCTAGAAGCTTATTAATATGCAAGTTACCAGACTTCACCCCAGACCAACTGTTTTTAAACTTTGGATGGCATTGGAGGCTGAGTCCTGATATGTCTGTCCTCCAGGTGGTTATGTGGTCCAGGGCCAGTCCGCTAGTCAGACAACAGTGGAACAAGTGGCCAGGTGTGGACACTTGCTGTGGATCCCACCATCCCTCCCTCTTCTGGGAAAGCTTAGCACGCAGCCTTCCAAGAAGCCAGAATTCATGGTCAGCACCTGGGAGGCTTAGTGGGTGCTGCTCAGCCACCTCCTCCAGATTGAAGCATTCAGTCCTACAGAGAACCTGGAGGCCATGACACTCACAAGAGGTTCCTCCCGGGGGCTGAACTCAAGTGCAAGTCACTGCTGGAGGAGAGGAGACTTTCAAGCAAGTTCCTCAGGGGTCTCCATCCATACAGTGAAGCGTTCATGAGTGCTCACCCACGCAGGGGTAGGTTTTTCAGGGATGTAGCTACCTGAATCACCCAAACCCCTGAAAGTAACCCCTCACCTCACTCTAAGTACCCCAATAAACTCAGTGGTTCACCACGATGGACTTGCATGGAATGCTTCCTTTGGTCCCTGGTTGCCTCCATCTGAGGTGAATAGAAACAGACCCCCTATAGAGAGTTGCAACAGTGAGTCACTTCCTTTCCAGGCAGTGTTCCTCTCCCATGTGAGGAACACAGGTTCAGAGCCAGTGTCCAAGACTGAATACACAGAGCCCACCCAGCCAAGAGTCCAGTTCTGAATACCAGCTCTTTCCTCCCACCGTTGTGTGACTCAGGGATATGCTTCTAGCAAGTTGGATAGCATGGCAGGTGATGGATGCAGCCTGTCCATATAAGCTCCAGGTGCCTTCCTGAGGTAACTGACCCCACTGAGTTCTAAGCATTTGTCTCTCAGTCTGGTCTGGGCTGCCCTGGGACCTGAGAAGTAGAGAAGCAGAGGAAAAACACACAACACTCTACCTAGCACCATGGTGACATGATGATCAGGGTGGTGGGTGGGGCTAGGATTTGAATGAGGGGTGCAGGCTTGGGCAGGGGTGCCCAAAGCCAGTGTGGAGAGATGCTCATGTTCCATGGAATACTTCCAGCATAGGGTCTACCTGCCCCTCAACCATGAAGTACCTGGCCCGGGGTCCTGATCCCAGGACTAGATTTTCATGTGTGGTTTCAGTAGCATGGGGCAGAGGGTGTCATTAGCAACGTATTAACAATATGTAATCCCATCCAGTGCAGTACCATGCACACAAGCTCTTGGCTTTGTATTCTCCTGCAGAAAACAAGAACATTCTATTCTGTTTTACAACTACTACGTGTGTGTGTGTGTGTGTGTGTGTGTGTGTGTGTGTGTGTGTGTGTGTGTGAAGGTTTGAGTGTGTTATAGCTGCATTTATATAGAGATAAATATAACTCAGGTTGCCCTTGCGACTAGTGCATTTAACCTTTTCTTTTTGTTTTTTTTTTTTTGGTTTTACGAGACAGGGTTTCTCTGTGTAGTTTTGCGCCTTTCCTGGAACTCACTTGGTAGCCCAGGCTGGCCTCGAACTCACAGAGATCCGCCTGGCTCTGCCTCCCGAGTGCTGGGATTAAAGGCGTGCGCCACCATCGCCCGGCTTAACCTTTTCTTTTTGTACCAAGGAATTAGAACTAGAGGCCAGGGAGATGGCCTGGTCCTTAAGAGCACTTGCTGTACAAGCGTGAGGATTTGAATTTGAATACCAGTTCCCACATAAAAAGCTGGGTGTGGCCACATCTGGCTAGAACTCCTTTCCTGGGTCAAGGAAGCTGGCAGAGATAGGATGCGTTACCAGGACTTCCTAGCCAGCCATTCCAGTAGAAAAACTAGCTCCAGATTCCGCGAGAGACCCCGTCTCAAGGGGGAAAGGCAGGAAAAGGCGAGGAGCCATAGTGAAGACCCCGAACACTCTCCTGTGGTATGTGTGCTTGTGCATGAATACACAAAAGAAGCTAAAAATGTTATAGCTCATCAAGAACGTGGCTCTAGAGACCATGTGTGGCCCTGGAAGCCCTCACCTGCTTCATTCTCTCCACACCATCGTCGCCATCTTCCAGGGCACCGATCACCTTGCCTCCACACTTCTGTCAGAGCATACCTGAAAAGGTAGAGAAGGGGGAGCAAAAAGTGAGCTCAGCTTCAAGACTTAGGTCACAGGGATCTGAGTTCACAACTGCCCCCTACAATCTGCGTGGGTACAGACAGCTGTGGAGCCTGTTTCCTCCCCTGCTAAAATGCTGCGCTAACATCTCCGAAAGTTCTCAAAGCTTGACTTAAGCTCTAAGGGAGAAAGGGAGGCGGCCGTTTCCAGTAGGACCTGGGCCAGGCACTAGTCAGTCACAGCACTGCGTGCCAGACAGGCCTAGGGGACCAAAGGGCGGAGACGCGGGCCAGTGTGTCGCAGATGCACCGCGGCGCGGATTCTCTTGCCCATTTCTTACTTAGGTTAAGTTCATATTCCTAGTGGGCTCAAGAACCCTGCCCGCCACGTCCAAGGATCTCGTGTGTGTGTGTGTGTGTGTGTGTGTGTGTGTGTGTGTGTGTGTGTGTGTGTGTGTGTGTGTCCCGTTCCTGCCGAGGGCTGGGGGTGGGCAGGACCAGTGTTTGGACAAGTCCCTACGGACTTGCACGTGCCCGGAGTGGCCGGGTTGCAGAGGCGCCGCCTCGGCGGTCCAGGGCGG